TGGCTGTGGAATTCTGGGAGTTGAAGTCCACAAGACTAAAAAGTGCCTCACCAGGGCTAAAGCTGACCGCACGTCACTGCACCTAACCATGGTTTAGGGAATAAAATTCCATTCGGTTAGATATGCGCAACATACCAATCCTTATCCATGCCTGAGAGATCCTTGTGGCTGCACTCACACAACATGCTAATCCATATACTGTACAGATAGAGCATGTGGTTTAGCACAAGAATGGGCAACTGGAGCCTCTGTCCAAAACAGCCCTTGATTTCTGCTTTTGTATTGCCAGAAACCTGATTATAATTAATGAAAAGTGGCAGCAGATTTCCTGGACAGTTTGAATTGAGGCCCACAAGGAAACTGTAGTGTATGCAATCCTGCAATAGCTGTGACATAGTTAAGAAACAGCAACACCCACCCACCCCCGCTCCATCCCCAAGACCATACCGCCCAGCTGCAAAATTCAAACCTTTTACCTTTTGTAGCCTTCACTCCCCCACAAAGTTATGAGCAGCCGTTGGCTACTACTAAAATATTGACTATTCCTGTTTCCTTCATAATATTTGAACATTGTGTTGATTTTGACTTCATATTTTTACTTTATATTTCAAACCAGTTGTGTAAGCCAGTGGTCTCCAACCTTGGCAACTTTAAGACTTGTGGACTTCAACTCCCAGAGAGTTGAAGTCCACAGGTCTTAAAGTTGCCAAAGTTGGAGACCACTGGTGTAAGCCACTTAGAGTTCATTTCCAAGTTATGACCATAATGGAGCCTGTCCGTCATGGCTATAACTTGTGATGGTCGTAACTCAGGTCACCCATATGATGACCTTCTTTTATGACCCTTTTTATGGCAGCCATTAAGCAAATTCTTTGGTCACCCATACTTCATTAGGCGGCAGTTTTACCAAGAAACAGAAATAAATGCTAGTTTTCAGCAAAAGCATCATAAAACTTGGTCACATGATGGCAGGACATTGTAAACGGTCATAAATGTGGCCTACAAGGGAAGGTGACTATCAGCACTTCAAATCTACCCCCAGGCAGGCCTGTTGTAACTCTGAACAGTCACTAAAAGACCTGCCGTAAAGTCATTTTGTGATTGAAATGGCATATAGTTTGATAAATAAGCAAATATGTTTGAGAAAGGAAACATGCTCTATTGCATTCAGCCTCTAATAACAAATTAGGTAGTTTGCCTTAGGGGGGAAAAAATATTGGAGTTAATCCCTCTCAATTTTTCCCTTAGAAAAAATCCATACCTTTGAAAAGCCAAAAACCAGGTGGAAATCACACCATTGATACTTTCTTTTCCTGTATTTTGAAGATAAATTTTAAGAGGGGAAGAAACGTTTTGCTTGCTCTTTCTCCCTTATATCTAGCGCTGGTTGATATTTCTTCAATAAATACAAGTCAAGATGAAGTTAATTAAACTGTTATGTCACTGCTGTATATGTCTAATGTAATCACCTAAGGTGATGTACTAATTATTTCAACATAATTAAGCCATGTGGTGTATTATTTGAGGAAGCCTCTAGAACTGTGATGGCGAACTTAGGGGCACACATGCCAGAGGTGGCACCCAGAGTCCTCTCTGTGGGCAAGCACATGCCGCCTCCAGCTGCTCTTTTGGTTTCCAGCGCACACATGTGCGCGCCAGCCAGTTGGTCTTCGGGTTTCCAGCACGCGCACCTGGGGGCTGTTAAAGCACCCAGCCCCGTCCTAATTGTGATGGTTGTGGGTTTTAAAATTGTTTGTATTGTCTTATTTATTCCCTCCCCTGTTTATTTATTTATTTATTTATTTTTTAATGATTGCAGGATCTGGGATTGGCCAGATCTTGTTCCAAAGGTTTTATTTCTTTTAAAAAACACAAATATTTCATCATTCGTCAACCATTAAAACATTGAAGTACAGGTTTTTTTTGTATGCCCCTCCCCTGTTTATTGTGAGCCGCCCGGAGTCCTTCGGGAGTGGGCGGCATACAAAACCAATAAACCAAACCAAACCAAACCTGTGCGCGCCCATGCACATGCTCTGTTTTGGGCACTCAGTGCTGAAAATATTTGCCATCACTGCTCTAGAACAATGCCTCTGAAGTCATGTGGACTTCAACTCCCAGAATTCCCCAGACAGCATAATTATATGAGAAATTATAGCACAATTTCTTCCTTCTCCCCATTACTCCAGTATAAATTCAGCATTCTTAATTCCTCAGGCAGAACATACAGGTAGTCCTCGATTTACAACAGTTTTTTGGGTGACAATTTGAAATTACGACAGCACTAAAAAAAAAAAGCAACTTATGGCCGTTTTTCACATTTATGAAATCAGTTGCACAGATTAAAAATGTCCTTTTGCATCCTGAATGACCAGTGCCTTATTTGACTTTTCTTTTTCTGAGCTCAGCAACCCCAATATTGTCTCACAGAAAAGGGAAGACTAATAAATAGCACTTTTTAATAGAATTAGAATAAACTGCACCGTGGAGCAGAATTTGGGTACTTGATGTTTTTCAGGTATTTTAGCCTATAAGTCCCATAATTCCCAGTATTTGGGTTGTGCTGGCTGGGTCTGACTTTATATTTTGTTTTGGTTCACAAGAAGATTTTAAAAAATCAAGATTGGTAAAGCCCAGGCCCCCTTTTATACAAGCATTGCATGCACCACACACATAAAAGAGGGACAGGATTTTAATTACACTGTCATGACTGCCATCTTCATATTTTAAACACACACACACAGACACACACAGACACACACACCAGTTTTGTCTAGTGGTTAAGGTACCAGTATTTAAAGTATGAGGTAAGTTCTAGTCTTGCCTTAGGCATGTAAACCAGATGGATGATTTTAGGACAGTCACTCTCTTGAGTGACTCGAGTGACCAACCTTTGGATTGTTGTTGTGGGGAAAATAGAAGGAGGAAGGTATCATTGCTGCCTTGAGTTATTTATAAAGATAGAAAAGGCAGGTTATAGGTAGTTAGGTAGGTAGGTATGTAGGTACAGTGGTGGG